GCTTCAAATTTTTGTGGTCTGATCCGCCAGCGAAGTTTCTCACAACATCGGCCACAATTTCATCAAACCGAACACACACATTTTCCCGTCCATCATATTTACTTCTCATGAACTATACCGTAAAACACGTGTTGTTCGTCTGCGTCTTTTGTTAATAAACCATTTCCCGGGAAGGGAAGCCCTCGCCAGGGCAGAGCACGGGACGCCTTTTTTTATTCACAGCGACGTAGCGCATTAGCGTTTTATCCGAAACAAAAATAATACCACGCGACTAGTGCGGGAGGCAACTTTTTGTTTCATCCGGGCAGATAACGGCCCGTGTGATGATACGACATTATTGTTAGCCGGTGGAAGTGGCGACTGCCGAGTGTGTGCTTTCTGCTAGTAAATTCATTATTTTAATTGACAAGCGCGGCGGCGGCGGCAGCTTCAGAATTCGAAGAGTCCTCCTCTCTGGTGGCAGCGAGGCTCATATTCCGGAATGCCTGGAGGAGAGATACAAATGCGAACAATGGAACTGGAGAGAGACAGCGCGCATTCCGTGCGGCACATGTTCATGAGAAACTCATTTACTGTGATTTATATTCTACCATATCGGTTAAAATGTAACTGGTTCGCAGGCTGTACCGCGATACGACGGCCATCCACGAAGATATCTGTAATTTTATCTTTAACTTCATATCCATGATTCTTATTTATGGGGAAAATCAGCTATAAAACCACGGGCTCTTGAATTCGCTGTATTAAAAGCCAATTCCTTTGTGAAACATTGTAATATTGCGTTGCTATATATTAGGACCTATCTGACGTAACCCTAGACCATCTTATCTGTGCCGTGGTATTTTATGTAGGTAAAGGAATGGAAATGTAGGATCACTGTGAATGTGACTGAACGTACATGTGAAGCGACCTCCAGACTGTGACATATTTTTGATGTCGAGGGTCTTAATTCATCGGTGCCAGGGCGAGGACTTGTATGTCATAGTAGCTCAGAAAACGTGTTTGAGGCACTGATATTAAGTCGCTAACAGAATCCATCAGCGAATGTTTTCAAGATGCCAGAGAGAGGCGTAAGTGTATGGATTACGAGACCGTCCGTCAGTGAAAGAACGAGCAGTTGATGAAATGATGTGAAGGCCATTTCTTGGCCTTCGAGAATATAACATATGGCCGGTCCTGTCTGCACGCTGTGGGGAGCCATTGAAACCGACCAGTCATGCCTCGATGAATTGGGATGACAATTTGTGCACAAACGTGAAAATGTGCAGTGGCTTCACACGTTCCTCAGCATTTTACGATTACCGACGCACTGTAATTTGGGATGAATCGGTGGAGTTTGCTCCAGAACTGTTTCAGGCAATGACTGAGAGAAATGAAGTTAGCGAGCGGCTGAGGGCTTTAATTACTATAATCAGCCAGAGGCGAAATCTGAGAACAGTTTAAGGAAGAGGCTCACTGTTAATTTTAGATTTTCTGTTTTGTGCTGTGTCCGCTTAAAGGCATACTTTGAATATTTCACACTCCAGTGGGGAACTCAGACATGTGGCAACAGCTAGACAGGCTAAGTAGCGAGAGTACTTACTCACGGAGGACAATCCGCAAGCAGTCAGATCCTGCAGACAAAGGATTGCCTTACAGCCTGGACGTACATCAAAATATATGTACCTCATAAAGGGAAATTATTAGCTATTTCCAAAAAAAGTCTTTTGTCCCAGATACTTCTACAGAACAACAAACATTGTAATGGACAGCCACACAATAAAGCAGGTTAAACATTTATTTCGGAAACAATTTCTGTAAATTGAATTTTTTTTTGTAGAAAACAAAATTAGTGGTTTCAGTGCAATAAGAGAAATTATTTAAAGGAATTCTGGGACATGACATGTGTATGAGAATGAACGACGATATCAGACTGGAAGCCATGAAACTGCATTTCTTAGCCAGATTTTGAGACGCCAGTGTTGTAATGGATATTGAGAAACGCAGACATGCTAAATGGAGAAACAGAATGGAAGATGAGTGGAAGATGTGCTAACCTTCCCCAGAGGACATTTTATTTTAAGTCCAGAAATAGATGAGGTTCTCGAAGACTGCGGAAGAGATGGGACGACCAGGTTTGAGTCTCGGAACAAGCAAAAGTGTCCTTCTTATATGCAAAGTGGAAACGAGAACGCAAACAAAGTATGACAAATGAGCAGCAGAATGAAGTCGGAAATGCGTTTTACATTCAAGCTAACACATTGCTGGTACACGTAAAAATGTATAAATCTGTAAAGGTGTGCTCCGAATGTAGTCGAAACAGACGAAGTTGGAACTAAGTATACGTACGTAGTCTGTGCCAATGTAATCCATAGGCAGCGGACAAGATACTGTGAATGATTATCAGTGCTTAGTATATAAGGAGAGTACATTGTATCTCGCCCGTCTATCAGATATCAGTAAAAATGTCGAAGAGCCGATAGTTTTTTAGCCGCTGTGATATCGAAGGTGCCCCCACCGTTGTGACAAAAGCTCGTCATTCAAAATTATTGCGAGGCGACACAACAGTCTGCCTAAAGCGTTCGATAGATCGTGTTTCTCAGATCCATTTTAATATTATTATCCCTTTTACATCTACGCTCCCGGAGTGTCTTCGCTATTCGATGCTTCCAAAGCCAAAAATAATATGCGTGTCATATTATAGTTTTCGAAATTAAATGAAGTGGAAGCTTATATGTTCAGAACAACGCAAGAAAGAAATATCTGCGCTTGAGAAGTTTAAAGTTAAATTAAGCGGACCTCTGGGGGCGGGCGAGATGAGTGTTCGTGTTGAAGCGAAGGCGGTGTATTTGTTTGATAATTAAGTCGACGGCTCCGGGCACACTGAGCTGTGTTTACTTCTGCTGTTCGTGTCATTTGTCTGATTTCGCAGTGTCGTGTGCTTCCGCGCTCCGCGCTCCTCTTCGCTCCATTTAGCAAATTGCTGCAGGTACAGTGTTCAACCACGAACTGTAGAGTAGAACATCGGCGTGGCGAGACCCGGTTGTGCCTCTCTCCACCCTCGTGAAGTTGTCCGGGACTTGCAAAGAATGAAATGTTTCGGCTGACACGAGACTTGCGTCTCAAACAACAAAATTCCGACGTCATTTCGCGAATATACACCACGTCTCCTTGTTCTTGTTTACAGGAGTTTGTCATAGTCACAAGCATTATTATTTGTCGTCGGATGTTCTGGAATAAATTAGTATTAGTAGAGAGTCTTGTAATTTTATATAAATGTCTGAAAAATTGTAATCTGTCGTAAAAGTGTAAACGTCACAGAAAACACTTTTAATGAAATTAAGGCCCGCTGTACAGCAACGAAAATGAAAACTGCAACTCGTTTTTCAGTGGGAAAACATCTGCTTCTTGAACGAAGCATTACAGTGGTCGCTGCTTGTGACTTCATCGTCATAATATCAGATTCGACACGCCACTGCTTGTTTTCCGATTTGTTTAACAGGTCTCGTAAAAGTACGCGTGGATTCGTTGTCAGTGACGCATGGTTCAGCTGACAGCGTGGTTGACTACGTTGTAGGCCACTGGAACGGGATTTCCAGTGATATGGCTAGTTTAATCACCGCGTGTACAATTGCTTTTGAGGCATGGACTGTAAATATCACAAAGCAGTTTTTTACGAATTCCAGTACGAGATTCGCTTAGCTGATCTCCTGGGTCATAGGCTGGCCTGAAGTTTCCTGTGTTGAAATACTAGCGCCGACGGATGCAGACCTCCAAGTTGTGCCGCGATTTATTGAGCGATTTCATGAAAGAACATTACGACTCTCGTTAGAAATCCATGAGAATTTCCGCTGAAAATGAGTTGATTCGTCATAAATACTTGGTGTTTCGTTGTAAGCAAATCTGCGGATAGGCGTGTTCGTTAAGAAGCTGTTAAAGTCCTCAACAAACCGGTGGTGTTAATAATTTTTGAGGTTTTAATTGCGATGATAATGTCGATCGTGGTTTTCTCGGTTATGAGACCGTGCTGACTTCCTGGTGGTTACCAGCATATGCAATTTCGGTATCGCGTTCATCTTCGGGGTTGACATGGTGATAATGAATTTCTCCGAAACGTTGGTTGCGACTTACAAGGCTACTCAGCGTTGCAACCTTGAGGACCAGAAAAAGCTTTTAATTCGTTTTTATGTCACTTGTAATGTTCTACAATGGCGCTGAACGTGGCCGTGTCCCGCTCAAGTAACAGCCGGGTTTTGCCCTCCGGACCTCGAAAGTCCCACGGAGCACCATGCGAGTAGTAAGGCGAGACTGTGAATTATATGAACGCACGCGAAAATATTTTACTGGTCTCATGCAGAATTAAACATGACATCTGCACCAAAAAAGCAGAGATAATATTCAGTTTGTTCACGCAGATGTGGGTTTTGTTTTGCTGCCGAAAGGCCATTTTGTCAACTTTTTAGTTGGTACTAAAAATTTCTGCGCCATTGAACTGTGTGACAGGCACAAAATAGAATATTGTTTAGTGAAATTATTTTATAGTCGGTTTCAATTTATTTTTATTGCAAAAAACTCTCTCTCTCCACCCCCCCCCCCCCC